CAACCTCAGCCACCCCCCACCCCACTCAAGAGCGACTCTGGGCGGCTATGCAATTACAATACCCCAACCTGTCACTTCGGGCAGGGCAAGAACCCGCGGCCTGATCGGCCAGCTGCAAAATCTGGAGCTCCCCTTTCCCTGGAGTCGCAGGAGGTGGCGCTCAAAGCTCCTGTCTCCTTTCCCGCCGAAGGACCATCCTCGCCGTCCACATTCCAGCGGCTGCCCACAGCAAAGAAGCCGCAGAACCAACATCTCCGGTCAACGGAAAGAAGCCACACACACACGGGAGTGTTTTGGAAGCACGCAAGCCGATCAGGCGGCACTGCCACATGCAGTGTGCGGTTACCATAAGGAGGGCCAGCTCTTCCTCTGGCACCGGCTCCAGGTCTGGGACAGTGAAGGAATCTGGGAACGTGGCCCCCTTGGCCAACGCTTCTGCAGCCTTGACTGTAGTTGAGAAGCATTCCAGCCAGGCCCACTCGGTCGGATTCCAGGTCAAAGGGTCTGGAAGGCAGGCCTGGTGATGCGGAGGGACGGGTGGGCTGCACAAGAGCTGATCCAGGTGGAGCCCGACGGCCAGCGAAGCCAAGCACTGCATGTATGGACTGTGAACGAGCTGGTCTCCACAAACCACGTAGGGCTAAGAGGGAGAGCAAGAGGAAAGGTTACGCTTAAGTGGGCCCAAAGCCTTATCATTTCAAAAGCATCATTTTTGAAGTTCTCTTAACTGCACTAACATCAAACTGGTGTGCTCTCGTTTCTGATTCCAACAGCATCAGAGTCCCCCTCTAAGCTCGTCAAATAGCTGAGCATTCTTCAGAGAAGAAGATCCAACTGATGCAAAAGGAATAATGCACTGCCATTTTTCCTGAATACACTTCACTTTATTAGCAATAAGAGGTCATGCTGCCCAACGGAGCGGTAGGTAGACTAGCTTTCATTAGCATAATAGAACCAGAATTACCATGGGGCAGAGAAACACATTCAATTTCAAATGCTTCTTCAAAAGGAAATTGTTACAGCAAAGAGCTGTGTGAATGGGGTGGTATAGAAATGCTGTCAGTAAATGAAAAAACGAATATCTAAGCAACACAAACTTGCAGAATCATCTGACAGACCCTGGTAACACTGGAGAAGGTAATGGAAAACCAGAAATAGGTTAAGACCAGGTTAAATCTTTCTGCGACAGTCTCCACGCAGTTCATTAGCTGTGCACTACCACTTCCTCCTTAACAAGCGCCCCATTCCAGTTCTTCCTACCTTTTCATAAGCATACTGTTCCTGAAGCATTATGGGCAGCCGTTCCAGGAAAGCCCTCATACAAGGGGCCACGTTCAAACCAAAAATGCCCTGCTGTTTCAAAGCAGTCCTGCATGTTGCCAAGACGTGGTTGGAGGAGGCCCACTCTGAAGTGCAATTCACCACCAGGACATCCTATCACAAAAGGAGGAGACAACCACGCTTTCTGGAACACCTCGCATCAACGATCCAATGTGTGAGTACAAAGGGAGGGCCAAACACAGAGCCAGAGAGAGACTCAACAGGCTAGACCTGGTCTACCCTGAACCTCCAGGGGAGAGAAGTCAGGCCTGCAGAGGTTTACTCAGAAGAAATGAACAATACCTTGGATCTACTTGAACAGGCAGCGACTCCAACCTCAGGGATCCAAACCACTGTCTGAATAGCTCCAGAACCGATCACCACACTCTGCAAGACACAGCCGTCCTAGGCGGGAAGGAGCAGAAAAACGGAGTATGAAAGCATAGCTATCGGCATGTGCATGGCAGACAAGATAACAACAACAACGTGTTCGATTTAGGTGCTGCCCAACTTCAGAACCAAGTTGGTATACGCCAATCAATCAATGAATTATCTAAAATGATTTGCTAAACTTGAGCCTGGACGGCAACATCCGTGTTATTTTTAACTCCTGAAGGGATGACTGAAAATTGGCTTGGCTTTTGTGAACCCTGCTTACCCGCAGAGACCAGATATTGATAAGGCCTCCGAGTCCCCCAGATACCAAGGTCAGTCCGTCAGAACTGAAAGTCACGGTCCGCACAGGTGTAATATGTCCTCTCAGCTGATAAATGCACTTGGTTTCTGCTACTTTTCTGTACGCATCCTGGAAATGAAGGGTAAGGAGAATCTCAGACCTTTTCAATTTAGGACCGAAATGTATCTTCTATTTACATTCCCCAAATATTTTAAAACATGGCCCTTCATTCAATTAATGTACATAAGTCAGCTTTCTTTGCACGGGCGACTTCTGTACTGGATTAGTTTCCATCGACCCTCCTAAGCATGGTACTCTATGAGTAACACAGGAAGGTTGTGTAAGATCCTGAGCATAAAGGCAGAACCAGCTCTCTGAATTATTGGTTTAACTGCTGCAGGACGTCTCGGCTTATCTCTGCCTCTTAAAGAGATGCCCTCCTAGACAAGACAGTCTTTTCTGTTCTGCACTCATTCCTATGAGAGAGTACCAACTTGTGATCTTCACCTTGCCGCTGATTTCTTCATCCCACCATTCTTCTGAACAGCTAAGGCTTGATTGCAGGAAGACCAACTCATCTTGGGGAACTGTCCAAACACAAACCAAGCCATTCTGGCATCCACTAAACAGAAGTTAAGAGAAGCTGCATTGAAGAATAACAGTTCCACACTCTGCAAAGTCGTGCTTGCAGATCACATGGAATCTACTGCGGTCTATAAATGCTTGAGTCATAATTTTTAGTCTTGGGAACTCTAATTCTATCTCAGCATTTTCTCTCCCTACACAGATGGCAGCAGACGGAAACAAGGAGAGAGTGTAAAGGCAAAAAACTGTACATCTATGAATCTTGAGTCCAAAACGGTGAGTTTAATTTTTTCTTTTATACTTGGCAGAAAATCTGCACAATATTTTGAATTAAAAAATACAGAGGCAATATAGAATTCACTCTCTTAAGTATCACCAAAGGCCCTTTTAAAAACATGTAAATACAGAAAGCTTGAGACCCATCAAAAAAGCAGAATTTCTGTCACTACTAAACAGAGACAAGGAGAGTCAAACCTTCCAACTTACGTGGCCAGCAGAAGTTGCATCTTGGGGCCTTTTCCCAGAAGGCTGCACCAGACAATGGCATTCACTACTGCCTGGTGGGAAAGGGTGTATAAATGCCGCCAGCAGCTCCCCGAGGACCCCCAGAGCTTGACCGACTCTTCCTTCGCGCAAGTCATGAGAATTTTCCCAGCGGGATCCCATTTCATGCTGACAATGGTGTCCTGGGGAAGGGGAGGAGCACAAAGGATGCACTTTGGGCATCTCTAGACCTAAAGCAACGAACTTTGGTGCGGAGAAGCTCTTTAATTTCCCTTTAAACACTCTGAATCTTGCCAGGTAGGTGCCAGGCACAAACCTCCACTCCTGAGTTAGGACACTGAGACACACACACACACACACACATATAAAATTTGCAAAAAATCTGCTCACACAAAGTTCACTTAGGAGATCGCTTAGGAACTATCTCCTCTTCTTTCAACCCTTTCCGGAGTGTAGATGATTTCGCCAGACAAGACTGGTTAAACAGGCTGTTGGGATCTAATTCACGTTTAGATGTCCCCTTATGTTTGTTCACCTGGTCTCCCTGCTCCCTGTCCAATTGCTCAATCCAAATCCATTCCCTTCTCAAACTGGCAGTGGAGCGCTAATCTTCTCCATGACCCTCAAAGCACTCGTGCTCGCTCCAAGCTCATGCCTTATGTGGGGCATATCTAGCACCCAAGGAAATGCAGAGCAACCCGAACCTTTTTTTGTTATCGTCTTCCATATCCGAAGCAAAGGGTCCAGAGGGGGAAAAGAGTTTTCCACAAGAGGGGCATGAGGGTAACAAGAACTCTCGGACACCCAGAGGAAGCCACGTGGTCACCTCCACTTCTGTTAGCAATACCACTAGGCTCAAGCATGCAAAATACTTTGTGGAATGTGGAACTGTGAGATGTAGAGACACAACAGACTTAATTTCTTTTGCAATGATTGCTTGGTTTTTACAGAATTCCAAACAATGGTGAGAAGAACTAATAGCCTTAACTGATGGGAAAAAAACCTTCTCCTCAGCGTGCCCAGCATAGGATGAAGTGCGGCTTTCAGATGATGCATTAGAACAAAAGCACACATGAAATACATGATTAAAATTGAGTATAATTTCAGAAGAAATGGTGGCTTTCCTCTGGAGTGCCGAGGTTTGCTTAAGAGCCAGGGCTTCTTGTTCTGTGGAGTCCTGACTGCTTTTGGATTCATCTCCCAAAGCAGACTTGTCTGCTGTACCTTGTGTGCATCCACCAGAACAATTCCTCCTGTCTCCCGTGGTTCTTTTGTGCCTATCAACAACTTCCCATCCACGTAGCCAACAGCAAAAGGGTTGTCCTCACTGAACCAGGCAAGGCAGGTAACCGACACTAAAAACAACAAGGAGAAGATGGCTAAGTTCCCCGACTCCTTTAAACAAACTGCGTGTTATGGTGCAGAAAGGAAATGCATGAAAACAATCCAGCATGTTTGGTGAAAATCTTGTCATATGTTCATCAGTTTTGTTAGATTCATTAACCAGAAGTCTAAGGCTTCATTTCCAAAGTGCGGGACAGAAATATTCCTGACTCCTCTGCATCCATCCAGCTGAGGAAACCATGATGCCTCTGAACAATGTGAACTGGAGAGGGAGGATTCACTGGTTGGATCATATAATTTAACACTGAGGAATGGTGACTAGCCATGAAACACTTTATTGTTAAAATTTGACTAGGAAAACCCACATCAGCTCAAGTTCTCTCTTACCTCCTTGGGTCAAAATGACCCTCCAGCTTCAGAACAAAAAGATCTGCAACACTGGGATTCGGCAGCCACCTACCATCCTTCCTGTAGCAGTGTTCCAGTTCAATTCTGTGCATGGTGGAAACGTCCAGAACTTCAATTAGTCCCAGAGACCCATCCATCCGCCCAACCAGCAGGAATTCTGGAGAATCCCCTGTCCAGGCTGCAGAGGGACTTTCTTCAGGCCAGGTGAGAGCAGAGACCCAATGGGGTTGAATGTCCAGGAGTCCCTTTCCTCCTAGGAACACAGATTGGCGCTTAGAGACCCACTTCTTTCCTAAACCTGAAGACAATGGCTCCAAGAGTCATCTTTCATTTCTACGGTACATTTGCCAGCCAGATTTTGCCAACACGTTAGGCAGCCTAAGTTTAGAGTGATGTGAGGTAAAGCCATTCAAACCAGGCAGATCAGCCTATTAATAACAACAGAGCAGAAGGGAAGTAGCCGAACAGCCAAACTGGACTGCTGGCGCTTGACAAAACGAGATCCCTCCACAAAAAAGGAACGGCCACATCGGCAGATGATGGGATGGAAGAGTGACTCAGGTTTGTATCTTCTAGCTCACTTCCTCCCATTTCCCTATTAGCAGTCGGTGGTGCCATTGCTCACGGTCAACACGGTAACCACAAACAACAGAAGTCCGCACTGCAAGAATCCAGTCACTCTGCCCTGAAGAGTAAACTGCTGCTCAGAAGCTTTGAAGATGCCAAGCGGACCTCCAGCAGGAGCCCCAGCCATACCTGGCTCTCCAATAAATGAGGGTTTCATTCAGGTTTGCATCATTACATCTCTTAATGAATTCAACAACTGTAGAACTGCATATATTCAAAGCGATCACACTTAACGGGGCCTTTTGATGAAGGGGGGGATGTAAACACCCTTTAGAAAATCAGTTATATTCATTAAGCATAAACTGAATGGATGAAAGAATAAACTGAAAAAACATTGGGGGAGTTGAATACCTGATTATTATTGGCCAGAATAAAGGTTGGATTATTTCATTTTTAAAAATGAAATGCATGTCACAACTTAATTCTGCTTAGTTCCTTCTCACTAAAAACCTCTGGCATTCAACAATGCATGGTTCATACCGTTGACTTGCCATATGTTCACCATCTTCTCCAGGGCTCCAGCCAGGTACTTGCCACTAATACTCCAACAGGCGAGAGAGAAACTGGGGTCACTGGGGGACCCCAGATTTTCTTCTGCTTCTCCTTCTCTGCAAGACAATACAGACCCAGCATTCAGAAGCAGCTTCCAGCAGGAAACAAGATACATCGGAATCAAGCCAGTTTCTCACTAATCCTTATATCCCAAGCAATAAAAAACACCCGGCCATCCCTCAAGCTTTTAAAATCCCACGGAAGCCAAACCTTTAGGAAAATACTATTCCGTACAGAATATTCTCTTTGCCACACTTACAAACCTAGAGGAACCCAAAGCTCATCCCCGACAGACTTTCATCCGAACTTCCATTCCATTGTCCTACCCCAAAAGGGCCTCCTTTCATGAAGCCTGCTCAGCTTTCCCAGAGGGCCTCGGGTGCTGCCACTGTGACTCTACTGGTTGGCTCTGTGAATCCAGCAAGGGGGACTAAAGAGCCTTTGGACCGATCCAGCAGAGCCCTTTTTGCTCTTAATTCTCCTATAAAGTTGTCCCTTTAGGTCAACTTAACATAAACTCCCACAAAGCCACTTACAGCTTGCTGAATACACAGGTCTGTTGCAACGAGTACTGCTTCTTGGTTACATTCCACACTCGGATGGTTCCATCGCTGCCACTGGTGGCCAAAAGACCCTTCTTGTTGCACCAAACGCAAGTCATGACCTGTTTTAAAAGAAGACGGGGAAACATTTCAGCTGTGATCCAAAACCTAAGGGTCATCTGTCTAATTATCAAACGTTCCTATTAAGCTGCTGCTGGAGTACAGGGCAAAGTCCTGCCAGGATAGCAAATTTAAAAATCAGTTCAATGAAATCTGAGCAAGAGATTTTATAGGTATCTCAGTCCTCCCAAAACTTCTGTTGGACCCCACCATATCCAGGTTTGCTAGAAGCACTTTGTGTAATAGAACTAAATTCAGTGCTTAAGGTCATCCTGGCTGGGAATTAGGGGGGATAAAAACCAGGTTTCCCAAGGGGCGCTAAGCTGCCGAAGGCTGTCTGAGTGTTAGCCGAGATGGCCCTCTGGGGAGACGCCTTCTCCCAGCTTGAAGAGAGATGCTACGGGGGTGTTACCCTGTTCTGATGAGCCTCCAGCTTGATGAAGGAGCACTTGCGCAGGTCCCCTCCCATGTCCGCCAGGGTCTGGGGGCTGCCTTGGTTATCCCGGTCGTGAGCTGCAAGAGTCCGCACCAGCTGCTGAGCAGCCCACTGTCTGTGCTGGGAGGATAGCCGTGAAGAGAGGCAGCAAGCTGCGAGGGCATTGGCCAGCTCCAGAGGGCCTACAGCAGAAGGATCATAGGGAGGGTGGGCATTCAAATGGGCACACACACCTGCTTAGACAAAACAATGAGATGACGCCCAGGTGAGTGACAAGAACCAAACAGCTGCGCAGCATCACCCACAACCTCCTGAACAAATGAGAATTGGGAGGGACTTCCGCCCTCCATCAGCACTCCTCCCTGAGCTGAAAGAGACTGACGCGTGTCCTGCCTTCTCGCCACAACTCACACTAAGAATTCCTCTCAGGAGACTCTGCGACCAACTGTCCCTTTGGAATTTTGCAGAAATCAGTAGGTCTCATGAAACAACACAACAGAAAGGCTACGGGAAGACCTAGACTTTTTCTGATACCAGCCAAGCAGGGCCCTTCGCCCTTCTATCTACCGGCATCTTGTACTGACAAGCACAGTACGCTTGATCTGGCTTAGTACCCTGCTCTCTTAACCAGCCTCTATCAATAGCTATGGGTTTTCTAAATTGTTTGGAGCTGGTATCCCTTGACACCTCCTTCTTGGGGAAGCAAATGCTGCTGCGCTGTGTGAAGGACTTCCTGCTGAATCCTTCTCCTTTCAACTGGAACTAAAGGGAGGGGATCCCTTTTGTGAAAATGCTGAAAAAGGAGCCAGCGCACCCTCCCCTCCTCAGATCTTTCTGCCAGCAGTGACTGTTCCTTAAGTTAAGCTAGCTAAACAAATATGGGGCGGGGGGGGGGGGGGAACAGCTTATCCAAAACGTGATGGATGCGTTTTCTTTTTCATACTTTGAATAAGCAGTAGGGAACATTTGGAGTTGCTGGATGATGATCATAGAGCGTTTTAATCATCAACAAAACATTTAAAAAGTGTAAGCAGGCTTCTATTTTGATAAGACCCAAAAAGTTCACCTGCAACCTTGTTTCCAACGCCTGAACCACAATGCCACACCAATGCAATACTATCAACAACAACTTAAGGGACTCAACCTGCATCTACTGTAACATGGTGAGAAAGCATCAGGAATTCCTCTAGAGAGGAAACGAAACCATCTTTCAAATTACCTTTCTTTTCAATTTCTGCTTTATCATAACTGGGCCTCAGCTTGGCCCCCTTGTCTGCCAGCAAGGCCACGAGGGCCTGAGTTACAACAAAGTTGGGTGATGTTACAAGTTTGTTCTCTTCTGCTATTCCTCGCAGAAAACTTGGCAAGAACTTTCGTTGCACAGGATCATCCACTGTAGTTAAATTGACACCAGTTGCTGCTGAAATCAAATTCTAAAACAAGGAATTAAAGCCACAATCAATACAGATGCTTTTAAATACACATGCTGTTTTCACTACATTGATTTTTCAACAAGATATAGGAACCTTCAAAATGTTTCCTATTAAAGGAGATCCAGAACTTCATTTAAAGCAAACTATGACTTACAGTTCTGCTCTTATTATGAATAAGAATTTACGAGACCAAAACAGGAAAAATAAATTATGCATTTATAGATTTACAAGGAAGTAGACTTGCTTTCAAAGAGACTGCAAATTTTTCGGATACTTCACAGTTGTAGTGTCGTAATACGCTCAGATATAACAGATTTCAGAGATTAAAGACATAATGGAATCCTATACCTTACCTAGGTTAAAATATCATAAGCAAAACAAACTGAATTCCTGTATTAAGCAATGTGTAATTATTTAAAAGCATTTTTGTTTTTACAGCACCACCACTGGGAGGTAACGATCAGGTTCTGTTCACATAGATTGTTACCGAATGGTTTGATATATGGGGCAGAGAAAAGTTTGCTTAAGCCTCTAATTGCTCCTTCTGTTTTCATTTTAGAAACAACTTCCTGTTTCCTAAAATATAGTATGCTTCATAAGCAGAAATCAAAACACAATCACGCGCCCGCATCAAAGGGCTCACGGACTTGGAAAAGCTTTGTCCAACGCTCTTGCTACCCTGTTCCCTCCGCCCAACACACCACCGCTGTTCCCCTTGTAGTCTACTCCGGGCCAAGCAGCCAAGACTTCCAGCCTTTTTAGACAATAGAAGACGAATTACTACTTAGCAAAAATAAGTTTCTGCACAGCCAGTGAAGCAAGCGCAATGTTCAGAGAGAAAAGGTGCCCTCCCTTACCTGAGTACACAGCTGAACCAGCAGTTTTGCGGCACTTGGGGTGTTTGAAGCCAAGCAGCCAACTGCTGTGCTCAGGTAGGCCAAGCAGGAGATGGGCTTGGTCATCTGGCTCTGGACACCTCGCGGCCGCTCAGAGGAGCCAAAGCTGGAGCAGGGGCTTGTGGAGAGACCCGCCCTCCCGGCCGCGGCCAGGCACATCAGGCGGACCAAGGTCCGGATATCCGTCAAGCCCAAGGACTCGAGCCCTGCCGCAAGACTGCAGCTGGACCCGCTGTTGAGGGGAGAAGAGGGAAGGTCAGAGGGGAGCTGCCCCCTGGACAAACCCCGTGGCCAAGGCCCTCACTTGAAAAGGCTGGGCAGAGCCTCTCTCCCTCCCCCGCCGAGAAACCCAAAACAGGGCAAGCAATTCCTGCTGGGCCTTCTGGCCCGCCCTGCCACCGGGGCGGCCTAATGCACCCATCCTCCCCAGCCCAGCGGAGCACAGACCTGACCGAGAGCAGCGAGAGGGCCCTCATGACCATCGTGCGGGCCAAGAGGACCTGAGCAGCGGCCGTCACCCTCCTCAAGGCCATGATGCGATCGTGGGGGTTTGCCAAGGCAGCTGCCTGCTCCCCCAGAGTAATTCTCCCTGAAGAGCTTTTCTCCACAGAGCCTTGGCAACCTAGAAAGAAGAGGGGACAAGGAAAGGAAAGGTCACCGTAGGAAGTACCTGGGTTACTGCCCTGTAGGCCCCGAGCACTGTTTACGAAGAAAGAATTGACTTTCTTCGTAAACAGTACTCAGGGCAAGTCCAGCGCAGTATGAGGCGTCCTGAGGCATCCTTTTTCTCAGCTGACCACAGTCAGACGTGAGCAGTGCACTCCCGTCAATACTGGGCCCTTCGTACCACTTCATCTGATGCCCCCTCCCCCCACTTCAACAGTAAGAAGCCTGCATGCGTGCGAGGTGTTTCCTTCCCCGGATCCTTTTGCTGGATTCCATTCCTAGGAGCTGGATGTGGGATAAGACAGGGTTTGGATCCAGTCCAGCAGGGCTGTCGTATCGGAAGGGTAACCCAAATCGCCTCTGCTAACCAATGACCTTTCCGTTACTCTTTCCAGGAAACTGTACATTATATCTACATAAAACCCCCCATTTCTGTGCACGTCCCAATCCCCGTGCTTTCCTGATCTTCCAATCCTGGTCCCTCTTTTATATTCAGGAAAGAAGGCGGAGGTTTGGCACCCTTCATAGCTTTCCAGGAGCCCTCCATTCCCACAACAGCCACTAGAATCCATACACAGGAAGCAACCTTTGCCTGCTGCCACCCAGAGAGATCCTCTCAACACCAGGCCCCCAAGGAAATGGCATAAGGCTTCAGATGCTGATCTTCTACCTGGTTTACCTATTTGCATCAGCGTTTCCTCCATGCTATTGATGGCGGTGACCATGGCGACGGAGGCTCCCAGTGGATCACTGTCTGGGAACTGAACGGGTTCAGGCACAATGCGCCGGTCATTCAACCCCAGGGGTCCAGCCAGCAGCTCAAATTCCTCTTCCCCTGTCAGCTTTTCATCCTCGTCAACGTCCAGCATGTCCCAGTCTTCTAGCATTAGGTAAGCAAACTGTGGTTAGGGATTACGTTTTACAGAGAACCAAAGCAGACGGTTGTATCATTAGAAAGATTGCACAGAGTAGTACCTTCATAGACACTCTCTTGCTTGCCTATTAGATCAGGAGCTTGTCCTTTGTATCTGCACCAAAAAAAGAATAAGGGTAACATTCAAACACCCCATCACGTTAAGCAAATCACAAATAATTAGCTGTTTTCCAGTTGCTAACTTAAATAGGAAGGAACAATTAAGCAGAGACCGCCTCCTTTAATCAACTTGTTCTGCAGGGCTGGCGGATTAAGAAGCTGCCCCACACGATTCAACACTGGTAACACAGCGAGGGTTCTAGCAGTCCCTATCTAAAGGTCGTTGTTTTTTCATCGATATAAAAACACTGTTAAAGTTCCAGTCAATGATTAGGCCAACTTCGCTTCTCATGGAAAAAAACATACTAAGATTTACTAAAACTGAGCATATTTTAGACACTTGGTTCTATATCTCAACTCTGTGTGTGTTCCTACCAAGAGGGTACACAGCACGGACATTAAATGTTCTCTGTCATGTGTTGGACTAAAATGCTAAAATTTTGAACATGTGCTCATTCTTCATTGGCCTACATTGACTGAAAGGGCAGCAGAAGTGTTTAAAGTGTTCTTCTCTCACAAAAGAAAGAGAGGCTGACAAAGGATTTCACCAGCTGTTCAGGTTTAAACCTCTGGTGCAAATAACACAGCCTTTTCTTTATACAAAGCTGCCACATACTTAACCTTTCCTCATCCAGCTCCCAGATGTATAACCGCCCCCCCCCCCGCTGCCCCAAAGCTGTTCAAGATGGTGCTGCTGAACTTCCCAATGATTTCTGGCCACAAATGAAAGAAAATAGGCAAGGGAAGCCTTGGACAGCCTCAATACATCATGAACGTTAACCTTCCCCTTGGGAAAAGGGGCAAACATCGCAGCCCCCCTCTCTACAGCAGAGACCAGGACACCACAGCCAGCAGGCCCCTGGAGAGGCTGGTGGGATGTGGATGGGACCTCTGACCCCAAGTCGAGGGGAGGGGGGTGAGGGGGCTGCCCACACATCCTCTCCGTCAGGAAGGGATCTTACAGACCACATTATCTTTGGTACCTTTCTGAGGCGGATGTCTTAGATTTGCTCTTCAGGGCCAAGTATTTTTCTCGGCAGCTGCCACACAAGAGGTAGTAAGGGTTCCCACTTCCACATTCACCACCAAACCACCCATCCACATAGGAGCCGTTGCTACGATAGCCTTGACGGTTGGCACTACGCCCACAGCCGGGGTGATTTCTTTTCATGTGTTGATTGAAGCTGACAACGCTGGATTCACACAACTCACATACTACCACTTCTTCCCTGTCTTCAGATTCACAAACATGCTGCGCAACATAATTATGCAGTTATTTTCATGTACAATGAAAGACCTCTCATTCCTACCTTTTCAGGCCCATCGGACCCACGGTTAAAACAAACTTATTCATTCTGCTCCAGCTCAGAAGCACAGAGGCCTTCTCCATCCTGCCGCCCCCCCCTCCAAAGAGCTTGGGCCCCCCAACTTCTACAGTCCCCCAGCCAGCGTGCTGATGGAAATTGAGGAGCTGCATTTCTGAAGGGCACACGATGACAAGGGCGGCTGCCACAGGCCAACGAGATAAACACTGCGTGCAGCAAAACAAGGCAAAACAAGGCAAATCAATAGTGTCTATTTGTACCCTCACTAGGTGTGCTATTCAGTTGAAGAGTACTCAAAATGCACAGGAAGAACCCTCTTCCACATACATTTTAATATATTATGGAATTTCACTTGCAGATGTGTATGTTGACTAAACATGCCTAGCACGTAAGTAATTTTTACAAGTTCAGTTTCAAGTTTCTTTTGTGGAAGTCTTGAGGAGGAAGAACAGGTTTTATACTTTCTGAGAGAGCCACACTAATTATGCTGAGTGTACAGGTCCATCACCTTCCTATCAGGAAAAATTGCAGATCTACTTCTAGATTGCACAGCTTTATCATTGGTGAAGAGTTCTGCTCCGGAGCATTAACAAACAAGATCCAACTATTTACAGAGACCTCTTCATTCTCCTTCTGTGTCATGTGCAAATCAGCTCTGAAGGCCACAGAATTCTGCATCTCTTGCTGGATCCTTGAGTTTCAGGACAACTGATTAAGGCTGTCACTAGAACCCTGGCCTTACAGGCAGCCAAATCAAACGTCTCAAGATGTCTTATCAAGCCTTAGCTGGGAAGACCAAAATCTAACCCAGGGCAATGTCAATAACTGGAATAAGCTACTGTTCAACCACAGCATTTAAATTTTTCAGGACTCTAAAATTCCAGTACCTTACTGAAGAAGTTCAGCCAGACATTTGTTTACTAAAAGCCTAAGTGAAAACCAACATATTTGACCACGGTTTTGGAAACAGATGTACGCATCAAACATCTAAATATGAAAAACATGTTAAGCGGCTCCTTTTGCATTAAAACCATACAGAAGCAATTTAGCATCTTCATGTGAATTTAGCACAAGAAGCTCACAAAACAGTCAACAAGATGCAATCCAGGGCTCTTGCTCTTGTCAAACCCATTTTTACCAGGCAAAATGGTCAGATAGATGCCAACAGGCACAGAGTTCCTCCCAAAAGGTTAATGGAGCTCAGAGCCATTCTAACCTTGGCAGCCGCCTTATGACGAACCTGACTAGGGAGACGCTGCAATCGATTGCCTGCTTTGACCACCAGCTGTTTTCCAGATTTCTTCCACCCTCAGTTCCCTGAACCCGCTAAATGGGGGGTGGGGAGAGGGATCAAAACTGGGGCTCTATCCCTCCTTGTGGAGCCTGCAGCCACCCTACATCCCTTTGGTAGGAGATGGGGAAAGGGACTGCTGGCCTCTTATACACAGCTAAGTTTCCCAATCAGTGGAGGCCTGAGCAGGGTCCACAGGGAAGACCCCTGAGAAAATGTTTTTTTTGCACTAGTTGAATATTGGAGATGCTCTCCCAAGCCTTCCACAGTCATAAATAGCTTCAGCCATGCAGTCCCTATCACTCTTCTCAGAATAAGGCTGTTATATTTTATCACTGTTACCTCTTACTGGTTAGCAGAAGTGCTAGGCTGAAGTCCCAGCTCCACTGCAAGACACCCTAAAATTCTGGCTCCAGACCAGTTCAGAGGTCACATCCTTGTCATAAATCTTGGACCCGGGAATGCCCACACTCCCACCTGGCCAGATTCTAGCCATTCCCATCTATGCCACCCCAACATTAAATCTGGAGCAACGATCTAGATTTCTGGCACTGCGAAGGGCAAGAATCCAAACTCTGGAAAATCAAAACACAAGGCTTTTGCTCTTGCTGTATCCTTTCTAACTCGTTCATAGGCACAATTGTTAACCTTCCAGAATTACACAAAACAACGATGTGGTGCCCCCTCCCCATCCTACTGAGGGAGGTGAGAGCACTGAGCAACAGAGTGAACTTCCAAGTTTAACTCCAGTTTTAAATGCAATCAGCATTTTTGTGGCAGTCCAATCTCTGTCTGAGCTATTATTTTTATTTAAATCAGAGGAAAATATTAAGTATTTAGCTCTGATTACTAAAATATGGAGCTATACTTATTTCTAAAAACATAATGCTTTTTTTTTTTTAAAAAAGAAGAACAGAATTTAAATTGTTACTTCCTGGAGAAAAGAGAGTTGGCAAATGGAAAGCAGCCAAGGTCAAGAGAAGCTGTTTCACAGATGACTGTTAGAGAGGAGAGCTTGTGCTGGTTTTCCACATATTAGCAACAATCAGGTTAACTGAGAAGGTTTAGCAAGGCACAATGTTATTTCATTTTCTAAGGAGCAAGAAGGAAGCAAAGCAGCCCCAGCTGCCATCACACACACCCAGGTCGGCCAGTCCAATACCTCTGGGATCCACATTCCCAGAATGTCATTGTCCCCAGCCAGGTCTGGCCCAAACATAGCTTCCATGGCCTCCTCATCCAGCTCGAGTTCTAGCTCCTCATCCAAGTTGAAGTCATACAGCGCTCCAGGATCTTGGGGCAAGGAGATCCCTTCCCTCCGACTCTGATTCCGGTGGGCCTGTACAGAGCGGTACAATCCCGCTTAAACCAGAGAAGAAAACCACATATTTTACTGTGCAAGTCAAAAGCAGCAAGTGGGGTCACAATGGCAAGAGGACACTTGGGCTGCAGGAATCCTACCCCCTTGGAGGTCTATCGTCACAGGGGCAAGGGGCGGCCCCACTGTACCCTGGTCTCCTGGTTTTATTTCTTACGAATATTTATCCCAAGCCTAAAACTGAAAAAGTACCTTTGTGTAGTGAATAAAGAGGATGGCCTTGAAGGACAGAGGGAACATCTGCTACCAAGGCAACGATCAGATAAATGAGGCTTGAGCCCAGACCAAGAAAGTGGCTTAGGAAAACACCTCAGACAGCACCCCCGCCCCCCAATTCTCATGAGGATAAAAGAGGGGGAAAAGGTAGCACATTCAAACTTGCAAGATTCTGTGACTAGAGCTGTTCTAATGGAAGTAGCTTTAGGTCTGCATGGTGCCTGTTTCTTAGTCTGGTCTACCTGATAAGGCTGACACGGTGTCACACCAAGAATGGCTGCTTTTCAGTGACATGGGGGAAAAATAACTGCAGGAAGGATACAAAGGAAGTTGTGACTCATGACTGCTCCTTATCCTCAGCTCCAGGGGCAACCTTTCTACGTGGCCCCACAAAACTGAAATATTCTCAAGAAATCTTAATAGAATGTTCCTTCAGCTTTGAATGCACAGACTTTATATCTGCCTTTTTTGGCATGCCCTTTTTGACAAATAGGTAGCTAGCAGGTGCTTTTAAAATCCTTCTTACATTGCAAGCATCTTCAAGACATTAAGGAGTGAGAGGGAAATACATAATTTAGTATTTGAAAGACTTACCAGCACGGGCCAGCAGCGTCCGAGCAGCTAGATCAAATTTATGTCTTCTGGTTACTGCCGACCGACCCCTTGTCACAGGCCCACTCCCAGACGCTGCATTTTCTGAATGGTCCATATTCTCATGGCTGAAAGGACACAAGGCAACTCAGAAACACTGGCATGACTTGAGGGGGAACTCTGACCCTCTCTGTCCTCCTGCTGCCTCTGAACCAGAAGGCTGCAGGGTGAACAAGGATCAAAAGATTTAACATCCATTAAAATGTGTCTGATCCTCTTTTAAAGTTTCTTCTTTTTTCTAAGAGGGCCTGGAATAATTTTAGTAATACCACCTAACTGCTGACAGATACTGTGGCAAACAAATACTTATATTCCATGGCAGAGGGATCACCTTTCACTGAAGCCTTCCTCCATTTCAGTAGCATCAGCTGAAGGGAGGTCTCCTGGAGACTGCAAGTAACATGGATCGCTGGACTTCCCACTGCCGCCAGGGACTAACGCTCCAGGTCGGGAATCCACCACTTCTTCTGACTGGGGCTCTTCTTCTTCCTCGTTCCCAGGATGCTCAATCATCCACATTGCCAGGACAGTAATGTTTTGGGCATCTGCTTCTCCTCTCGCACCTGTGGGAAACAGGAAACCTTCATCTGAACGTCCCAGCAATACGTAGGCTATACTATTGAAAGAAATAAAAGAGAACCATTTGTTTTCTCCAGCCCAGAATCCCCTGAAGGATGAGAGATGACTTGTATTGTTGCTGCTGGACTTAGAAGACACAAATGTGACAATTAAGCCTGGCCCAAAAAAAGCCTCGAATTTTATAATATTTTGCCATTCCTGAAACTTCAAGCTCCCACAATAAATTACTATTGGTTTTTCACCATCTGTAATTGTCCCAATCAGTAAAGATTCTGGGCAGCAAACAGCAAAACAGGATAAAACAGAAACCAAATCATAACAAAATAGTAGAAAGACAATAGACGCATAGACACAAGATTGATACCCACAATCAATTTGGACCAGGAATGGTGGAATACAGATTTTCATCCCTTGTGAAATGCAAGGAGGGGGAGGACAAAGCATACTACGGGGAGCATGTTCCAGAGTGCCTGACCCACACTCCACATGCTACTTGTCAGCTCTCAAGCAGGCCCTCTCCAGAAGCTCAGATGGATGGGAAGATTCGTTCCTGGCCCAGGTGTGTCTGATGGACCCCGGTGCCATGCCATTCAGGGCTGCATAATCAGCCCTTTGAATTGGGCAGGAAGCCTTCTGGGAACCAGTGCAGTGAGTTCCAGAGCAATTCTGCAGGACAGGGTTGATCTCCAAACAGCTTGGCTGTTGCGCTTGGTCCCAGCTGCAGCTTCTGAGTCATCTCCAAAGGCAGACCCATACAGGGGGCATTACAGTAAGCCGTGATCAAGGCATGAGTTGTGACTGGCACAAGTGATTTGTTTTGGCACTAATAAGTCCAGAATTATTATATCAATAACTGCAGAATTTTGGAAGCAAAACTAATTTGGTCAGCTTTTATTTATACCAGTTACAGTGAGTCCCCGACTATGGTCTGCTTCTCTCTTAGATGAAATGGAAGGACTGGCCTCTCTTTCAGCAATCTGATTACCTGTGGTTTCCATTGCTTTAGCAATCTGCCGGAGGGAAAACCCCATTTCTAATAAGGGAACAGCAACAGCAGGAGGAGGGGGGGAAGTTGACAGGCGGCTGCTTGGGTCGGACAAAGCTGTAAGGTGGAGGGAGTAAAAAATTAATGCTTGGGTTTATCAGATACAAAGACTGATACAGGTTTAAGGAGAACCAAGTGGCTGTGGACAGGGCTCACCTGTGCGGTTGGCAGGTCTGGCGGGCTGAGAGTCAGGGGAGGTGAGCGACTGCCGCCTGCCCACATCGTCAGAGGGAGAGGTTGGCAGAGAGGAGATGGGGGGTGTCTGCGCCCGCCTTGTGGGAAGGACAGCCGTGGTTGGGTAGCTGGAGAACATTTGCCTTCACAAAGGGAGGAAAAGGAATGAGTAATACAATGCCTGCCAGCCAGCCAGTGACATTGCAAACCCTTCAAAATAATTAGGCATATGCGCAACCCCAAGAGGATTTAGATGGGGTTAGCATCCGAGTGCCCATTTCTTCATCATTAATTATATCTCCTTTTTGGCATTAGAAAAAAGAAGTCACCATTTCACTAGAGAAGCCAATGATCCCCCAGTTTTTTTAGCGTGTGAGAAAAGGAACTTTGCTTTCAAACGGCTTGAAAGGAAACAGACTTTGCCAAGAGATGTTGTCACACTACTTCTCACTTACAGCTCTACTTTATGCCAGGGCTCTGCAAATATTCTCAGAAAAAGGGGGCTCTGACCTTTAAAAGACACTGTCTGAAAAAGCAAAACCATTACAAGCGAGCCAGTCCATTCCTGGGGAGCAGGGTTGGAAATCGATATGTACCTCAGGAGGCTGAGCGGCAAAACGCCCGGGGATTCTGAGGCGGGCACGGTTTCCGTATCAGTTACGGGAGTGGTGGCTGTTGTCGTATCCTCCAGAGAGCTGCTCATGAAAGATGTCGTGCTGGAGGCAGACGGACTTGTCGTCACCGGCGTCTGGGCCTGCTGAGTTTGGTCGTTCTCTTCTGTTTGCTGGTCTATTTCTGCAAAGCAACGTAAGCTCTTTCTGTCTCACGTGCCACAAACATGCACAGCTCCTTACAGAAAGGTTGTGAGGGGATGAGCACTGGAGGAACAGGATGATGGACGAGGTGGGCCACTGGCCTGATCCGTCATAGCACTTTTAACATTTTTATTTGGGGATTTAAATTTTCACGTTGCTTCTAGCAGCACTCAGACTGATTCCCAGCAGTCCAGCTCCTCAAGCAAGGCCTGGAAGCGACCCTGAGGAGAAGCAGAAAACCAGCATCCCTGCCTATCACTACCTCTGCAAATCCAAAATGGCTCTTCCACAAAATTCCTGCCGCACTGCATGTTATGTCAGTGCCCTCGAGGCTGGGTGAGGAAAGAAGCACAGAAGGAATTTTACCTCAAATCCAACTATCCACAGCAGCAGTGGCTGCTGGTGCTCTCTGGACATTTTGTACTTCAGCTCCTCTAATATTTTTGTTCCAGAACCTTTGGAGCCACCAGATGTCCACTGACAGGCCAGGGGCTCTCCAGGGTCTGGGACAGAAAAAGATCTTTTCCAAACCGACCTGATCATGCTAGGAATTGAAACGAGGTTTTCTGAACCAGGAATCCACGTATGGTCTTTCCCAGTCAATCTGGCCCGAGCCCTTCTGAGGCACTCCCGGCTGAATTCAAACCGGGATGCAAATCAGCCAACTCTTCCCCAGTGCTGAGAGTGCAGCCCAGGGATGCTCTGCCTGATTCTCCAAAGCTGCCTTTGAAAGTCAAATCCAATTCATTTTTCAGCCCTTTTTAGTAGCTGAGCCAGAGAGAAGGGGAGGGGAGGCTTGTGATCACTGCAACTACAACCAGCTGAACTCATGTGAAACACTGCAGGAGTCTGACCAAGGAAGACACAGAAATCAAGCCATGCTGTTTCTCCAGTGTAGAAACCCGCACACAGATGCTGAGCCAACATTCAACTTACAATCCTTACACCTGCGTACTTAAGACATACCTTGCTTAATTTTAGTGCCGCACTGATCTTCCAACAGTCCGTGCACAACTAATTTGTAGATCATTGCTTGTGCCCGTTCCAAGTCTGCTAGCCCCAGAGCCCTCTTGATGGGTGAGCGCATGACTGCCCGTTTCACCATATGGCGCATCAAGAACTGCAAGGCAGTGCGCATTTCCACTTCTTCATGGACAACGGGAGAACTGGCACAATCTGAGTTGTGGCCGTTCTCGGCCAGGACTTTGGGTATCAGTAACAATTCAGCATATTTACTGCAACTAAGGAGTGTGCTAAGGGATTTCATAGCACCGAGGTAAAGGTAGGATAATTGTACAGCCCTGATTTCTGATTGTGCAGCCTCATAATTCTTTGAGGCATGTTCATGGTTCTTTCTTCTGCCTTCAGCATTTAGATGCTGGCACTCCATGCCCAAGGAAATGGCTTCTAGAGAGAAGGAAGAGGTTTCGTTTTCCAGTTTGGCTCCATGTCCCTTAACCTCCTCAGTGCTTGGCACCAATCGTGCATCTGACACAGAATCACCTTCCGTTTTCTGATCGGGGTCTCCTTTATCTTCCAAGTCATGTTTGTGCCTCTTCTCATGACGCCTAATGCTCTGCTTTCCCACGTCTTCATGGATCCCAGTCAGATAGGTGAGGTCCAGCAAGACAGTAGCTGTCAGTCCCCGGAATCTTGCAACATCAAAAGGCAGGGGTTCGCAAGGTTCCAGATTATACAGTGGCGTATCACTAGGCGACCAAAAAGTTGGGAAGCTTTAATAAAGATCAGAATGACACAGGAAGAAGCAAGTGAGGGATAGACAAGAGGAAAGCACAGGAAATAACACAGGCAAAATAAGACGTAAAATATATCACAGCCTAAATGAGCTGACAATCTAAAAGTCAATGTAAACCAGGGAAAAGAAATGAGATTATGGGGAGGGATGACATTCAACACAAAAGCAACAAAGCATCTGTGTGTGTAACTAAGACAAAGTATTTAATTCCAAATATTTGACATAGTTAGCTATTCACTAACAAAGGAGGTTTTCTAAACTACTTTTGAAAAGTGCCTCCCAACAGGCACAGCTACCTCCATGAATGGACCGCTGGCTGGCTGGCTGGCTGGCTCCCACCTGGGATGATATCATGTCCCCAGAAAGCCCTGGGAGGGCATTTTAAGTGTGGCCTAACCCTATAGGATAGGTTGGAAAAAGTCTCCTCCTCAGTGTGGCGCCGCACTAGTCTAATGCAGTCATTCCTCTGAACAATCTTTTGATAAATGATTGTATCTACTGGCACTTCAAATGCTACCGGCCACTCTGACAACGGTCTTAAAGACTGCGTGGCAACAAGCTCCTAGATTAGCAATGCGGCCTCAAAATCTGAGCATCATTTCCTGAATCCCAATCACTGGCCGCTTGGTGGAGACCAGCACTATACCTGATGGTGATCTCTGCCTCGTCCCACTGGACCTTGGCAGACGCACTGCCTTCCTTGACCACTCCCAGCAAGGTGGCGTGCCGCCCGGTCTGCTTGTGAACGCAGCGTCCCCCAACTCGAAGACCAGCGTCCACCCCACCAATCACTGCCAGGACCGGCCAGACCTCCACACAGAGCATCTTCAGCTGCAGTTCTGAGAGATCCGCCAGCCCGTGCTGCCGGCTGCAATGCTTCATTTTCTCCTCCTCCTCTCGCACCTCGTTCTCCTCTCGACTCTGCACAGAGCGGCTTTTCTTCAGTTTCTGACCAGTTTCTTTAAGGCACCCTTTGATTTTGTACAACCTCTCCATCATTTTTTTGTTGATGCAGTGCGTCCACCGGTCAGTACGGTGCAGGATGCGGATCAGCTGAATTGTGGCTTCTGCCAGCACCGCAGCAACCGGGCTGCAGATGGGATCTCCTGGCAGCAAGTCTCTTGGGGTGCCGCGCATCTGCATGTCACAGATCTTCACCTGGACAGACACAGAAACATCCGAAAAGTCATTCTGCTGCACTCTCAGCCGTTGGCTAAACTGTCCTGCCTTCAGACTTAATGGGGACACTTTGGCAGCCTGCAAAAGCACTTTAGGAAGAAGAATGTTTTGCCTCATTTTATGGGCAGGCTTAAGTGAGCAAATTTTTACCTAAGCAATCTTTCTCCACTGTAAAATACAAGCAAAGTAAAGCTGTAAAATATGAGCAAAGTTATGTGCTAAAACCCCCCTGTATTGAGTTTAGGACTTCAGAGAAGCCCGTTTTCCAGTTCCAGCCATTTTTCTCCTTCCAAACTGCATCAGAAGCCACATTGTGAGCAAGCCTGGAAGAAAGAGAAGCACCGACATTTGCGCTTCCCTGGGATGGGAGAAGAGTGCCAAGACTGGCCAGGCTTTCAAGCTGGCAGAATGGGAAAATGGGCGGAGGAGAGAGAAGGCAGGCAAGTTCAAGTAAGGAGAGGCCATGGCTCTTCCCACTCTTGGCATGCCTAAGAGCCACAGAACTTCAGGCAGGAGCGCTAGCTTGCTGAGGCTCAAGGTAGATTTCGCCAGACAAGACTGGCTAATCAGGCCAATGGGATCTAATTCACGTTTAGATGTCCCCTTATGTTTGTTCACCTGGTCTCCCTGCTCCCTGTCCAATTGCTCAATCCAAATCCATTCCCTTCTCAAGCTGGCAGTGGAGCGCTAATCTCCATAACTCTAAAAGCATTCACGTTACCTTTTCTCCAGGGTTACTACTATAAAACATCACACAAGGGTACAATTCTCCAGCATCCACATCTTCAAAAGCCAGTTTGGGTTCCTGATGGAAAAAAAAAAAAGAACAAAAAAAAAATCAGGGGAGTTGAAGCACCCATTTTTCAAGGGAGCGCTCCACTTCTGCTCCATCTTGGCTAGAAAATTCCTGCCAGCTTAAGATTAAACTGGAAATTCACTTCCCTTTATTTTCTTTAGGTCACTGCACCCTTTTATGCGATTAATTTTCCAATGAAAATGTACCTGCTATGTATAAAAAATATATATTGTGCCACTGTTCATCTGCTTTGTTTGAAACTGCTGATGTGATGTTGTCACAGATATGAGTTTTTAACGCTACCGTGAACTGCTTAACCAATATGCAAATACAGGAAGTCAGGAAGAGAGCAAAGCTTCATACCTCTCCATTTTTGCCAAAGGAAACAGTTCTTGCTTCCATATCCAGCACGCAGGTAATGAAGTCCCCCTGGGTAAAACTGGTCAGTGTCAAAGTTTGCTCCCCATTGTGGTAGAGATTGCCACTGTAAGCTCTGTACAGCCACATATCCGAGGTGGTACGATGATTAAAATCATGAACGGGCCAACGAGACACTCCCACGCAGGTTCCTTCGTTGCCTCGATTTTCCTTTACAATGTAAAACTGGAAAGTGCAGAAAAACTATAAACTTTAAATATGAACGTGGGTAAATAATCTGCAAATATAGGGCAAAAGGAAAATATTGGGGTTTGAAAGCCTGCTCAAAATAACATACTCCCTCCTTAATAAAGAAGCAACTCTCTGGAATAACAAACATGATTATTTTAATTGCTGAAATACAGGGTGACCGATTAGTTCTTCCCAAAATTAAAACCGACGGCTGCATTTTATTTATCCTTGGGCGAAACCTCCCGTGAGTTTTCAAAGGCTCTGGTGAGTCTCTGTCCTTGCCGCTTAACCAGCCTGACTCACAAGGTTTCTCCAAATCAGCACAGTTGATATTAAGCCAGCGGCCACATGACCCACTGAGGGCTGGAGAAAGCCTGACGAGAGAACTGAAGCCACCGAACCAAGAGAGCCACAAAGCTCAGTTTGCGAGGACAGAATCTACATGCCAGTCTGCTGCCCACGTAAGGGCTCCCATCTTGGGCCCACTGAAATCCCACTGGAACTGCATTTCTCATAGGGTTTCCCACGCTCTGGGCAAGATGCAGTCCTGAGGAACCAGAAATGTCAAAAAGCAAACAGAAAAAGTGCCCGAATACAGCTGTCACAGTATCTCCCACAACACGCCTCTATCTGAGATATTCTTTTTGGTCTACGCACCTTCCACTGGTAACACCCAGACGAAACTCCAGTGGATGCTAGCCCATAGCCCTTTCCTCCGCTGCCATGAGTTAGAATCTGCCCATTCTCCACTAGGCAGCACTGAGCCTTCTCAGGGTCAAAGGACACCTCCTGGATAGGAAGATTCTCATCCTCTTCTTCAGACTCACCCTGTTTCTTCAGAAATAGAAGGTAAAACTCTGTCAACGTGATACAGCGAACAAGCATAGAGATACAAAGACATCAAATGTAGATAAAGCTAGTACCTGCAGCTTTATTTCTTGTTCTTTTTCTTTGATCTGAATTACATGCTTGGCTTGTGCAACTGGGCTCTCCCACATGCAGTCAGACAGGAGGGAGAATAGCCGCTCAATCACCTGTTGGGTAGCATTATCACAGTGTATTCAATTCAACGGGCCACAAAGTAAAGGCTAAAGCTATGTTTTTCCATTCTTCTTTCAGGTAAAAGTCCATCTCTAAAGACCACCAAGATGGATGCAACCATCACTCACGTTACGTAAGTGGTTCTAGGCACCACCGTTGAGGGAGAATCTTCCAACTGCGGCAAAATGCAAATGCAGTGAGGGAGTCTTAAGGGTTACTCAGTCTCTTTGGGCACTGCTGAAGAGATGACCCTGAGATATGGCACTAGGGAAGATCTCAATCTGAGATCCTTGGGAGCTGCTGCCAATTGGTGGAAACTGTCCTGAGGTAGGAAACCACCGATTCTGTTTGGCAGATGGCAGCTTCAGATGTTCAAGTGAGAGGTGGACTTGGGGCTAGCTGATGGGGCGGAGACCTAATTTCAGTCTGGAGGAAAAAATGCCACTTTAAAGCCAGCATGAAATTCTAAATTCCCTCAAAAGTATCAACACCTGAGCCATCTGGTCGTCCTCCACACCCGATTCACAGGCAGGTAGCACAGCTTCCAGGACATGGAGTGCAAGTAGCCTGGTCCTCAGTTTGCCAACTAAAGGTACACCTAAAAAGGAAATGAAACAGAAAATTGATTTAAGCAATAGTCAACCTCTGTCATACATGCAGTTTTTAAAATGTTGCCATAATGCCTAAACACACATCCCATATACCAATAGAAATATCCTGATTATTAATTTGATGCTAACTTTCATTGGTCTCCAAACTCTGAATAGATACCAACTGAACGGACTGTACCTGAGCAGCACTTTTGAGACGCTATGTTCAGAAGCACTTCCGTCCACTTCGGAGAAGCCATTTTGGACTGAATGGCTTTGGAAGAAACAACTCTTCGGAGAAAAACTAAGAAGTCTCCTAGATGTAACTCTGCAGCATGCTGCTTTCGGAGGGCAACTGTAGAATCAAACAGTAAGAATGAATCTTTGCCGACAAAATGGCATTCATATAATAAATCCCCTAATCTGCAAAGCGTGGCAAGCAAGCGGGAAGAGAGACTGCATCATTGTTTTATGGGCAATTATTGTAACCCGGGAGACCAGGGTACAGACAGCAGCCAAATGAGCATCTCAGTCACCGTCCTGCAGCTGGAAGCAGTCTTTCCTGTCATATTCTTGCAAAGTCAGGCCCTGCTGAAGAGTCCTCCTCATGATTATTATTCCTTCCTAAAAAAGGATGCCTCTCATACCTCTGAAGTCTTTCCTCTCAGGGTCTCCTTTCGACTCCGCTTTTTTTTCGTCCTGATCACCAACTTCCTTTTCGCCAAAGGAAGAAGTCATAAGCATCACACCCGCTTGGGATAACAGGTTTTTCAACTGACTGCACAGCAGATCCAGCAAGGACTGTACCACTTTGGGGCTCAATTTATCTGCATAAGTCCTGTGTGAAAAAATGTGGGGATCAAGCAGCAGTCATAGAAAGATGGCCAAGCCCTATGAAGAGATCTAAGTTGTGCCCTAGAGAAGGTTCCTGGGATTGGAAGAGACAGGAGAGGAATTTCATGCTCCTGGGCCTGAACTAACCTTCCTAATGCTGCTCTCTTTCATCCAACAGCAGCTTTTCCACTGCACTGACTCTGGAGCACCCTCCATCCCAGGCCTCAGACATGCCTCTTATTATAGTGTGCAGGTGTCTACTGAGGACTCATCTCTCCAGCTAGGCTGGGCTGGGCCGCACCTGGGTGGGCCTTCAGTCAGCACATTTTAGGTGTCTGGGGATGGTGGAGGATAGAGGGATGATGCAAAGTGCATGTGTGTGTGTGTGTGTGTGAGGGAGAGGGAGAGGGAGAGGGAGAGAGAATTTTCTGGTTTTGGGGTAGAGGTAAATTTGGGGCTTAGCCTAAATGAAACTTTGATTACAATTTTTCAATATTTCAACCCCAAATGGAACATAACCAGGCAATTCTTGGGGGTAAGTTTTAAACTGTCAATACTTACCCTGTGGTGATGGCAAGAATCTGAAGTAATCTAGTGCTAGCTACTTTTAAAGCAGTGCTGAGTTGGGAAATGCCACTTTTTGGTAACAACTGCAGGGGCTGACCAAGCACGGTGTCTGTCCCGCATAACTGAGAAAGGACGTTCAGCAATCCAGTGGAAATGGCCAAGGACACATCAACTGGCTGGTAATGTACACTCAGGGCAAACACAGTTACCAACAGGAGCCGCTGCTGTGCCTCTAATACACATACATGTACACACAAACACAAAGGGAAAAATAAGGAAATACTTAGAGAGGGTTTCCTTGTGGAGCCTGAGGATCCTCTGGTTTATTTCTTCCCAGATATAAAATAATGCAGGATTCAATCCGCTCTCCTTACCTATGTGATGTTTATTTGCTTGAAGGGCTCTTTCCAAGGTTGCAGACAGCTGTTGATAAATCTTGTGCACAGCCACTTGAATCTCAGTCTGGATACTTCTCTTAGCTGCTCTGATGCCATCCTATGAAAACCCAAGGCTCTGTTGATAACGGCTGATTCTCGGGAAGAGCCACCCACCAGTTGTGCATGAGAAGATTCTGAGCAGATCTTGAGACAAGCAGATGTAAGTGCAACTGCATCATCTCCTCAGGGTCACGATGACACGTCCCTTACCTGATAGTGGTGCAACCGGACGCTCTCTCCTTTGGCTCCAGTGTGTCCCACAGTTCCCAAGCCAAAGCACCCAGCCAGGAACTGCAGCCTCACCGAAGTGAGAAACGAGGAAGTCTGGAACCCCAGTCCTTGGCGGCTCCCCAGGGAGGTCGCACTGCCCTTCTCTTCCATTCCCGAGAGTAAAACCAGGATCTGATGCAAGGCCTCCAGGCGTAGCTAAGGGTGATGGAAAAGAATGGATTTGGAGTTACTATTTGGAAAGCAAACTGTATTGACAGGAGGATAAAACGTAAGCTTGAACACTGCCACCGGCTAGTAACATTCCAGGAAAGGAATGGATAGATTTCAGCTGGATAGCCCTCAGGGGCCATTTCAGCAAAAACCACAGAGGATACTGTGGACAAGACTAATACATGTATTACGGCATGTATTTTCACAGATCACATCTCCTCAGATGCACAGGAAATATCCTGAGTACAGGGTTTGGGAGAACAGCCACATCTGAAGGAAACAGAATGCAGAAGGTACAAAACAATAACCATTACTTGTGTAACGGCAACCGCTCATGAATCCATTGGCGGCTCACGCTATATTAAATGCATTAAAGAAGACTCTTATGCTGGGCATTACCTTTCGGATGGCTGGCTGTGATATTTCGTGATGCTATATTAAGGCCAGCAGGGAAAAGAATGACAAGAGCCTGTTGTGCCATGCCTACTTTTCCAGAGCGTACCAGCAAAAGCCTAAACCAACCAACCAGTCAGAGTGGCAAGGAACTGAAAGTGCCCCCTCCCCAAGTCCCCTGTCCATGCAGAAGAGCAGCTGACAGCTGCAAGACAAGTGGTAAGGCAAGGGAGTAGGACGCATACCTCTGCTCTCTGCTGCTGCTGCTCCATAGCAATGATATAGGCTTGGGGGTTGGTGGACATGCTTTCTTCGGGCTCTTTGAAGCCTGGGGAGCTTCCTAGGTCCCCGCTGATAAAGCTGATAATGTTCTCGATCAAAGTATGAACGCCAATGGACTTTGTGAAATCAAAATCAGACTCTCCAAACAAACAAGAAGAGCTGGAGAGCCAATCTCGCTGTTTCAGCCGAGTCCACGAATCACTGAGGGTTTCAATCGGGCTATGGACCACGCCTAGAAATACACAGCAGAATTCCGTAACTGACAAGGCAATCGAGTTGTTGAATTAACAGAAGTGAATGTGCAGCTTACAATTCAAAACATATGGAAATGGGAATTCCTGTCAATTTCATGCGCATGGTCAGCAACGCCTACCACATCCAAGGCCAAAAAACGATAGCTGTACATTTTGCTGGCAAATCTCCAGGCTACGTGTTTTGCCACAGAAGGAAATTAAAAGCAAAAGCCACTCATACTGTTTAGCTTAAAGCTAGAACGCTGAAAAGGATGATATGCAAATAAAAGAGAGAGAGGTAAAGGGAAAAGAACATCTGCCACACACACAAAAAAGAAACTTTTTCCTTTACATCCAATTGCAAAAAAAGGTTTGTGTTTAACTTGCATCACTGTAAAGCAGGAGTGGGTGATTTATAGCTGGTCTGGAAATTTATGTAAATAGAGAGATGAGTAAAGGTCAAGTAAACGGGCGCAAATCGTTTGCTTTCTTTGGAAATGGCCTTAGAGCAAAGCGGCTTCGCTGAACTGAACCAGCTACATGCTGCACGCCAATGATGACTTTTGTTCCAATCCTGCCAGGGCAGACTGAGGCAGGACCAGATTTCAGTGTCTCCTCCCAATGGCTGCTGCACACACAGGGCCTGGCCCCGTCAAAGCTACTGAAGCAAGCAGGGCTCCTTCCGCTTTCAAAACAGACGTCCAGGGAGCTCTATGCAGCTGCCCAACTATTTCAGCTGGTTATGCTACAGTGGTGGATCAGGGCCTTCACGGCCAGACAGCTGAATCTGCAATACTGATGTCTATGCAAGAGAACTGCTCTCTTCGCGGCTGACAACCCGCTGCCTCGTTCGGACAGTGGAGAGGACCAGCCCAGATCAGTGGAAGCAGGTGGCTTCTTCCCAGCAGCCAAAGCTGCCCCTTTCCATAACAAACCAGCAGCATTTTCAGCATTTCCTCATTCTGGTACATTCTCAGAATGCCTTTCATTATAATGACTCACAGGTTTAAGAAAATATACCCAGAACAAGACCTTGTCATTTGAAAAAGCTGATATTCTTTACGTAAGTGCATAAGGATAAAAACAAAATGAATCTCCGAAGGGGAGATTCATTTGTGGAGAAAATAGGAAACTTTTAGAAATGGGGGAGTGGGGCAAAAACCATTAATTGCTCCTCAATTCTGCAATAATTTTACTTACATTATTGCTCAAACTCTATCGCTGCTTCCATGGTAAAGTCCTAATTCTACCAAGGGCTACATTTTCAGAACGACGTGCCCGTTCTCATTCAAGCTCGCAGTGACTTGTAGATGTCACGTGGTGAGCAAAGTCATCTTAAACACCTCATTATCCAAGCACAACGAGAGCTATACAAACACGCCAGCAAAAGAGGTGATGGAAAATGCTGACACACCGCCAAGGAAGGATGAAGCGGTCTGTTGGTCGAGGAAGGGCAAGGCAGGTGATGCACACAATCATGACGGGCAACCACCCCGAAGAGGTCCTGTGCAGCAGCTGAGCAGAACATCGCACAGGGCTCCCACGACCCACCTAAAAGGGTTGCACTCTTCCAGATCACAGGAGGAGACCAGTGACAGACAACCTCGACCGACACCTGCTTTCCAACCCCCACGTTTTAGGAAAGCTCGGGGGGGGGGGTTTCTCTCAGTCTAACCTACCTGCTTTCTGGGCAAAAGAAAACTGAGAGGAAACAGGATGCTACCTCGAGCGCCCTGATAAAAAAATTGAGATTTAAAAAACGTAATACATTTTATGGTTCTCATCTCCTACTGCAGAGCCCAGAGGAAACCTAATAGGCCATAAGGGTATGGGTACACTTTAGTCCTTACAAAAAACATCTTTGAGAGAACAGAAAAGGGAGAATCAACGAAAAACACCTGAGGAAGTGACTGCACACACCTTTCAGAAAAGGCAAAGACTCTCATAGAACAGGGAGGATGGGAAAGGCTGCAAATGAGGGGCCTCTTGGAGGCCCAGCATATTTGGGGCTTAAACCAACCAACTTCCTCATGGAAGCTGCAGCAGGGGAGTTGCTGGCTCTACCTCTGTTTGTGGAGCTGCTGGGCAACGAGGGTTTTGCAATGCTTCAAGGACATGCATCAGTTATAAACGCCCCTCACTCATCCCGCAAGCAAAAGCAGAAGCATGTGCTAAACACAATCTTAAAACTCCAATTATAGCTCAACAATGTCCTTGAAAAAATAGGAGGGGGAGGAACCACCAATGTTTACTTGTCCTTATATGCCAGTTTTCAATAATGCAATATTCAAAATGAATGTGGAATAGCTGCTATACATATTTTATGTTTTATAAAGTATGTAGGCAAACTAGAGAGAGAAGATAAAATCAGAACATGCCATCATGTACTTGCTTGAAGCTCTTCTTTTTTCTGGGGCTCAACTGGCCAAAAAGGAGTAAACACACTACCACACAAGAATCAGAAGACAAAGAGAGACATTTGGTAGAAAAGACAACATTCAATCTGCAATCTGTCCATACATGGAAAACAGGATCAAGAAAAGAGCTAAGTGTTCTCGTTCAAGTAATGACCATAAAGGTGCACTTCCTAAAATCTGACATGTAAGAAAAGAACGGCGTATTTCACCATCTCACAACCCTTGCTACGCTGCTTAAAGGGCATGGTGTGGAGCCTTGTGGAGGTATCACTCTTAACCCAACATAGGGCAATGCTGCATTGATCTAGTCAGGCAACCAGTTGAGTTCAAAGCTTCCCCATAGGACAGGCTGGTTGAAGGAGTGCAACTCCCGTAGGCCCAAACAAGAACAAAAAGTCTTGAGAAGCTAAGGAAGGTCTTGGAGGTGAATCCAACAAGACAGACTTCTCAAAACGAAGCAGCACTCATTAATAATGAGCCTTCTACCCCTAGGTAAAGAGCAGATCAGGAAGCTGAAAGTAGGCCCAAGCACAGAAGGGAGGCAACCCTCATCCAATTTCTGATGGACTATCGCTTTCTGGACTCTCTTTTCAGCCCTTTGCAATCTGCCTTCTCACTTAGGACAACCACCTTCCCAACTGAATGTGTTGACATTCCTACCATACGTGATATTTCCATATGCAAGGAAGTGATTGCGCAATGGCAAGTCCTCTCACAATTCTTTGCACTGTAGGCTAAGAAGTCCATCTTGAGAATTTGGTTTTCAAATCTGAAACTCCTCAGAATTTTCCCAGGGCTTCCCCTCATAAGGCAACCCGTAGAAACAGACAGCCTATTCAAAAGGCAACTCGCCTGCTGCCATTACTGATATTCTCTGGCAATGCCCAGCTGCAGGGACAACTTCAGCCAGCTCTGGAACGCAACGGATTGCTGGGTCAGGTTGAGGCTGGCAAGCCGGACTAATACCCCAATGAACCATCATCACAGAGCACTTTCCAGAACCTCCCACACTACAAAGGGCCACACAACAGACTTGGAAAGTTGTCTGAAGCTGCAAAGGGTCCAGATCATTGCTTTAGAGAATGATAAGGCTGTGGCTATATGTGGCTATAATAAATGTTTTACCTTTCTTTCTATGGGATGATGCCAAATCCAAATCCACATTTCGCCTTCCACTCTAAAGTGAAGAACAACAAACTGTTAATGTTACTGGACGCCTCTGATTACCTTTCAGCAATAGCTCCTGATGCAGTCAAGCTGGGGCACAGCTTTAAAACAGTGGCTTATAAATCAAGACACATAACATAAAAGGGGACAGAGACAGGGAGGGAAGTGGAAAAGAAGCAAAACAGAAACGCTGGCTCCTGCATGAGAGGAGAGGAAGCTAAAAGCAAGTAGGGCTTGCTAAGCCTGCACAGGGAGCTCTTTGCCACAAAAACGCTGAAAAGCAACTCGTTCATTTATAAACTGAGTACCCTGCCTTCTTCCCATCAGTGTAAATCACCGTAAATGCCAAAGAATGAACTCAGGATACGGTGGGCATTTGCCACACAAAATGCTTTATGTATATTTAGAAGTAAAATTTTTCTATTTCTCTCTTACAATTTGGGGATCGTAGAACCATCATTACGAATCCGGCAATATTTGGAATTTGCCTACATTTCTTAATCTTGATAACCCCCGTTTAAAAAACATGTTCCTTTTTTTTTAAGGTGGCCAATACAGTCCCTTTTCTATCCCAGAATTTTCAAACTGACATGGTAGAGGGATTCAAAAAAACAAACAAAAGTGCAGGAAATAATTTAGTTTTGGGGGGTTGTTTTTCAGTTATTGTAATGGAATAAACGTAATAGTATACTGCATCAAAGGTAATAGCTAATTGGAGAAATGGCAACTGCAACCACTGAAGAAGGCTATTAACATTCAGGGGTGCCTCAATGACAAAGTTTTTTGGCTTGTTTTAAATCACTAAGCAGAAGATCCCAATGCACATTATTTCTTCAAAACGGTTCCAATGCTTGGAATTATGTCTGCCTTCAAAAAAGACCTTATTTCTCTTAACTAAAATTAAATCCAGATACGGATTTCCAAAAGACAGCTAGTGTGGTATAGCAGTTATGGTGCTGGAGTGGCATTGTGGAGACCCAGATTGAGCCATGGAATGCTCTGGGTAACTCCAGGCCTGGCACCTTCTCTGAGTCCAACCCACCTCAGAGGGCTGCTGTCTGGGGAGAAATGGGAGGAAAGAGCTCAGGGTCTGCTGCCTTAAGGGTCAGAACACTCATCCAACAAATATTAAGGGACATAACATTAAAACATTCTCCCCACATGTACTTTTAGGCTAGTGCTTTGCCCAAGCATACAACTGAATTGAACTGAATCAAGTTTGTAATTGCATGTAACGATTCCAGTTATTCTGCTTACCAGTGAATAATTTTCTTCATCTGATTCAGGCTGAGATAGGTCAGATTCACTCCTCGATTTCATCAGTTTATAACTTGATGTAGAGTGGCCCGAACGACTTTCTGCAGTAAGACTTTCACTTCTGCCTCACATAAATGCACAGAAGAGAAGAAAATTATGTAGTGTACGCAAAGACGTTTCCATTTGCCTCGATCCTGTGTCACGCTGTATGTTCCGTTACAGGGCTGTGACCATGAAAGCAGCCCAGCTCGTAAGTTTTCCTTCCAGCACAATATTTGGGAGAGTTTCACACACACAGCTTTCCTGCTGGGGCAGAAATCACTCTCGTGCAGAGTTCTTCCATCAAGTACACATGTGAGTCCTGTTCGTTGCATAAATGCAACCAGAACCACCACCACATTTGGTTAAATGTACCCCCAAATGACATGTGAACCCATCATACCCAGTGAACACCAGTGACGACCCTATGGGTAGTTCTTGAGAAAAATGCAACACCTGCTGCACAACAGAACAATAGCTAGCAAAGCTCGTCAAAAGGGCACCCCTTGGTCCTTCTCTGGACTGGAAAGGACACGGATCTGACCGGGAGCTCAAGCGCAGCAATGCCACACGTCCCCTGCCTTAGCAGTCCCTTGCAATCCTCTGAGAAGAGCGCAGGACCGCTCGCACCTGGTCATGAGGCCGATCCCGTCCGGAGCGCCACTCGAAAGCTGCTGCGACTGCCCTTCCTCCCTTCGCTTCTGTAACTCCTCAATCACAGGGCTGACCCCCAAGATCAGCAGGGCGCAGCGATGGATCACCGAGTTGCAGGCAGCCGTGTACACATCCTGGCCCTCAGGGAGGTCTCTGCTGACTCGCCGCTCTTGCTGGGACTGGGGGGGCTGGTCATCCGCTTGCGCCCCCACCCCACCATTTATTCTCTCTCGATCTCGGCTGCGAGCTACTTCACGGGCTGATAGGAAACATTGAAATATTTCTGTAACATGCAACACAAAAACAGAAGGTCTTAACTGCTAGGCAGAGCTAAGGACTGCAGTAATTCTTCAGCTGAAGATATCTGCCCACAGGTGAAGCTCCAGCCGGAAGTGATCCTGGGGTCTCGGCCAGCATTCACTTACTGCCAGCGGTCATCACTTCATGTTCTCTCTCTTCCTCCTCCTCTTCCTGCTCTGGATGCCCCTCCTCTCTCTCCCTTTCTGCCTGCTCTTCCATCTCCGCTTCCTCATCAATGGTCCGGGTGAAGGGGCTTTCCTGAGCATCAATGTCTGATGATTCTGGATTTTCTGACAGCTGGGGGAAGGAGTAATGAAAAGGGGGGGGTGAATGTAGCACTTGCTTAAATTAAACGGGAAATAATAATCCACTATCCATTGCGCCAAGTTTTTGAATTTTGCAAAACACTGGGTGGCAGTAATGAAATGTATAGCAAAAAACTCTGCAATGCACCCTTTCACTTGAAAACAAACCGTCGTATGTGGATGCCTATGCCCCATTTTAGAAAGCTCATTTGGTGTAGTGGTTAGGGCACAATTGCAGAAACCAGGAGACCCCGATTTCCAGTCCTGCCTAAGGCGCAAAGCCAGCAGGGTGACCTTGGGCCAGTCCCGCTCTCAGACTTAGGAGGGAGGCAGCAAGGGCCAACCACTTCCGAAATCTTGTCAATAAAACTGCAGGGGCGGTCCAGGCGGTTGCTGGAAGCCAACACTGACTTGAAGGCACACACATACACAAACCAAAAACCAAACCGCAAACACCCCATTTTATATAGACAATAGCTGCAATATCACACATTAGTCTGATAAACAGCTCATTTTTAACTTCCCTCTGTGCTATTTGGAAATAGAAACATTTGAACAACCAAGACAGACCCAACAGCCACTTTTCAGAGGAACAGGGGGCTGAGGCCAGCAGACGCAGTTTTTGCATGGCAGTGCTAGCTTTTTAGAACCTCCCAGCCAAAATTAGACCGGCTCCCCCCCCCCACTGCCTTCCACAAACAGTTTCAAACAAAGCTCTTTTGTATAATGTTTGATGCTGTTTATTATTCTTGTTGTTTTCTACTATGTTTGATTTGTATTTTTTAAATGTTTACTGTGGACATTCCAATTGTATAAATAGTTATCTGTGAACCACTAGGAGTCCTTAATTGGATTCCAGCAGAATATAAATGTTATAAATAAGTTACTAAAATAAATCTTATAAGAAGTGTATGATAGCAAAACATCCTTCTGATTCTTTTAGGAAATAAATATTGGCATCATTTATTTCAATAACCTGCTGCAGAATTCAATTCTGAAATATTTAAATCAATAAAAAATGCAATAAATGCAATAAGCCAACTTGATTCAAAATAAGTAAAAGGAGGAGAAATTCTCACATGAATTTCAGCCTGAGGAACGCATGCACTCTTTCACATTAAAATACCTTCCCTCTTTAAGAAAAGGAAACTGAAAAACGCTCTTCAGTCTTACCCATCTATCCCTGGAAGACGACCGAGTCGGAATAAGTTCCATGTTCTTGCAAGCAAGCAAACGATTCCGGACTTTATACACACATCGATAGATTTCTACCAATGTTTTTCCTGGCTGATACCTAAGAACATAAACATTCCACACGGTTAAGACAACAGGCGACTATCACAGATGAAAGATACGCCAGAATATATTTTGGAATACTTGCCTGCTTTCACCACTTGCTTGACTGAGCAAATTAGTGTGTTTCAAAAGGGCAGCAAGAACAAATCGGGACACAGTATCCAAAAGCGACTCACTACTCAAGGTCGCGCTGTCCCAATCTAAGTTTGAATAGAGAAAAACAATAAAGTTCCGCTGATCCCGGAAACATCCTAAGTTTAAATGCCCTCAAGGATTCCATAATATATCATTCTGATTGTCTCCTTGTCTGAAACATCCTTCCCTAACTCCTTTTTGCTTGCTCCCTTTCAACTGGTCCAAATTAAGTTATTATTCCACTATTCTTTTTCTCTTTGTTAGGCAAAGTCTCTACGGACTTTGCAAGCAGCTGGATGGCTAATCACACCAAGTAGCCATCCAGCCCGGCAAAGAGCACAAAATTCTGTGAGGGAGCCTAACAGTGGCATTAACGGTGTTTTGCCACCCAGAGGCCTCGCACTCCCATTCCCAGACTAATTAAAACTCTCCAAACAGGATGGAAAACTTGGCTGCACCTCCTCTGGTCACGTCTGCTTCACCAGATGATGTGCTGTGGTTCTCTGGAAGTCAGAAGACTGAGTGTGCCACCTTAAGCCACTCAGAAGTTGCCCTCCCCTGTGCTAAATGGATCCAGATCCTTTTTTAGAAAATAAAACAGAAACGAAGGGGCTTTTCCTCCAAAAGAAGTCTGGAGACTTCCTTTGTCTTTTACCTGGGATACATCACTTCTACTAGAAAGCTAGGAGGGAGAAGAAGATCAGGACGTCTCTCTGCTTCTCCCAAGAGCTTACCTTTACTCACTGCATAGTCCTGCATGCTGACCCAGAGGCTGCGGGCCGGTTCCTTTGCACACCCCAAGGCCAAATCCACAAATGTGGAGATTTCCAGGCGCAGCCGGTAATCAAATGGCTTTTGCTCTTCATTTCCAGAGAGGGCGACCTCCAGCAGGGAACTCACAGATTTCTCTAAAACAACAGAGACAAATCCAATGTTATCAATTTACTTAGCTCAGCCTTCCAAATGTGTTAGGCTACAACTGCCACCTACCCTGAACTATGGGAGCTGTAGTCCAATACATCTGAAATGGTATCAGGTCAGAGTGATTTTTAAGCAGAACCAGCCATGCCACATGGACTCCTCTGCTCAGGGGACCAGCCAGCTGTGACCTTCGTCCCTACTCTATTCCCACCTGAGATTTTCTGCCACCACAGATGGCTACTGAGCATTCTCAGCCTTCAAATGCTCCCTTTTAAAGCGACTAGTCAGTGATCATCTCAACCTTTCTGAGGATCAATGCCACCAACTGTGTGAAGAAGTGCTTCTTTCCTCCCATCTGTCCTAAATCTGGCACTAAAGAACTCGTTTTCATGACACTGTTGGATTCTAATATTATACAATAAGGACAATATCTTTTTCCTCTCTATTTTCTCCATCCCAGTATATTTTTATACACCTCTTATTCTGCCCCTCTCCCCCACTTTTCTAAGCTAAAAAGCCTCCGTTGCAGCAACTTACCTCCCTTCCTTCCCACTTTTGGAATCCCACTGGATTATTTTAACAAACATTACATTGTAAACATTTTTCTAATTCTGCAAATCTTTAACCCTATTGACCAAATTACCTAACTGGGGAACATCCATTTCAACTCCATCGCTGAACAATGGTGTTTTCAACCAGTAAGCCGTATCCTGCTCTTCGGGGGACGCCGGCGATCCTTGCAGCATCCCACCCAGACACCGTCCAATAAGCAAAGCGACAGTTCTCTCGAGGTCCACGAGCCACACCCACACCTGGGCAGGCTGGGGTAAGGGCATTCCAGCTGGATCCACCAGTTCAGGCCCACCTGGGGATATTGAGCAATCAACTTTTTAGAAAATTTCACCCCTAGTCAATTCTCTGGTCCAGCACAGGAGTTCCAGGAAACACACCTAATTCCTGGAAGATCTTCCTTACTGGTTTCAATGGAAGAAACTAACCCATGTGGCACATTCTCACACGTTCATCCATTTTTCCCAATCTGGCACCATCTAGATGGCCAAAAGTGCACTAGCTGAAGGTCATGGGAGTTGTAGTCCAAAATAGCTGGATGTCTCTGGCTGGGTTCACATCTTACACTAAATCTGTATGTTTGTGGCTTAGCTTCATGGATGAACTTTGGTGCTCTGTGTGAATAGCCACTAAAATGTCTGAAAAGTTGGGAGAAAAATGTAGCATCCATATTCACAGACTGTGTGGTCTGGCAGCAATACATGGAAAGGCTGCCCCAGTTACTCCATAAACAGCACTTAAGTCATAGACCCGCTCCTTTTTTTCTGTTTGTCACAGAGAACTGAGCAGTTCAGAAAGGGCAGCAGAGGCGGCTTCTGTGACAGCTGATCAAACGCAGAGATGCTGGTCAAGTAAAGCAGGTTTTCGCAAAGTAGCACATTTAGCCTGAAAGGCTTACAAGCCCGTTTTCATTCTGTCCTCCCCACACTTCAAAAGGAAAAGACCTAACCTTGAGTCAACCTTACCATGAAGAGGCCACTGTAACTCCTGATCTTCTAGAAGCACAGCAGCTGGCAGAAGTCTGTTGAGGCAATCCAGAGGTGGCAACAGATCCAGCAGGTAGCTCAGTAAAGATCGGGCTACTGACACAGGCAGCAAAAGCAGGGAATTGATGATCTGGCAGAGCATGCTTCCTGCTGCAGATACATAAATGACATCTGTAATGGGGAAGAAAGGCTCATTAATACCGGGCAGCCTGGAATGTCATAACAGTAACAGTAACAGTAACAAGGGGAAAAATGATGTCACGTACTACAATTTCAGGGGCATTCCTTCTAGGGTCATCTGTAATGGGGAAGAAATCATCATTAATACCGGGCAGCCTGGAATGTCATAACAGTAACAGTAACAGTAACAAGGGGAAAAATGATGTCACGTACTACAATTTCAGGGGCATTCCTTCTAGGGTGCCGAGCAACAGAAGTGTTTCTCCCACTCTGCTCTTCCTTCCTCAATCGGAGGCAGGCAAGTCGCATGAATTCCACCCCAGACATAATTTTTGGGTCCCCTGACCATGCTCAAGAAGCAGTGTAGGTGCTCCCGTGTGCCCCGAGACACAGACTAAGCATTTCCAGCTCATTAATCCCAATCAGCCTTTACTCCAAACCAGGACTATGATCAGCCTTGTTGGAGTCAGAAATTACATAGCCAGACCTGACATGTATCTGGGCATTTAACAACACAAACATTCAGCAAAAAGGAAATAAATTAGAGAAAAAAAAGTCTGATAAACTTTGCTCAGTTCTGTAACTGTTCTCTATTAAGCACAATCAGATAAACAGCACCCACACGCACCCACCTCTTAGTTTTTCACCAACACTACCGTTCCAAGAACTCTCCTTCAGCAAAGTCGCCGAGCGGGAATAGATATCTGTAGCATGAGGCAACAGAAGTTGAAGATGCTTATGAAGAAGGGCCACGCTGCTGGAGTTCTGGAAGCAAAAGAAACCCATGAAAGATGCTCCACGTGGGACCTGTAGCAGCTGGACACGAGAGGGTGCCGTCAACTATGCCTCTCTGGAGGTCTCCCAGTCAACCATGTGCAGGGAGTCCAACTGCTACACAAACAGTGGACACCTCTTCTAATCTCAGACACGGAGGGACCGATGATTGCTCTAGACAAAGGTTTGTATCTAGGATCATGGCCCAATATGCTCTTTATTGTTTCACTTACTCTGGAGAAAGTACACAATGGGTATAAAAACCAGAGCACTAACCTCACCAACGCTGTTAATGTGGCAGTATGCCAGGAGCTGTTTCTGCAGGGAACAAAGCAGTTCGTGAAGATGAGCAGGCTGGCTGTTCTCGGATGAAGACGTCCCAAGTAAAAATTTATCACTGTTTTTTTCCAGCTCTCCAAATGCTTGATCCTACAGAGGCAGAAGATTCACCGCCCAATGTTTCATGTAACTCCCTGCGTATGCTTCTCTTCCTTATTTTTAATCCCAAAATCATTTCAGGAATTATATGAGCAATGTTTCTATTGACAAATGTGCAGTTTTCTATTGATAAATTATAGACTATCAGTTTGGCTTCAAGCAAGGTGAAATGGGAACAAAAATCTATGCAACTAACACCCAATTTAAAAAAGAATTGAGTAGCAAATTGGTGTAATTAGAAAAAGAAACCCCAAACACCACATCTTTTCCATGCCACTTTTCAATACCTGCTTTAAAAAAAAAAAAAACCTGTCCTTGCTAGCAATACGCTTCTCGCTGATTAGAAAAAAGCATTTTTCCAGCATCACAGCATCAGGGAGTTACAAATGATGGTATAATCAAACTACTAATCCAACTCAGAGTGTGGACGATACCTTAATCTCTCTCTCTGGTGAATGAAAACAGCTGCCCTTTTCAAACAGCTGATCTTCCCTGCCGCCCCACCCCATTGGTCTTCCGATTAAACTACTCCAAGGCTGCCAGTAGGCAGGATGACCCAGGTGGTACACTTACAGTATAGAACCCTAAATTGCGCAGAAGAGTCTTCATTAAGATCTCAGCCAGATGAGTGTCAGGGTGGTTACTCTGGGCTCCATATGCTGAATCAGAGATATTCCCATAAGCGATACACAGCGAGGAAATGTCTGTAGCATCAGACGGGGAGCTGTAGCCGAGTAAGGAGGCCACGTGAGTGTGGTCTTGCAAGCTTGTCAGAATAATATCCAACTGCATTCGCTGAAGGAAAGAGAAACCGTGACTTCCTTCACTTAGAATTCCTCAGACAAAAACGGCCAGATAAGAAATCAAAGCACACACAATTTGCAATGGTTTTCAGCAATACTGCAGCTGATATTTTGACTTAAGCAAGACATATCAATTTAGGTGAAGGTACTTTCTCCCCATGGAATTTTTGCCTGCACTTTCACACACATCTCTGCCATGATGAGAACTAGAAGCATCCTTTAAAAACTAAAACAGCTCCTCTCATGAGTTTAGAAAAAGCACAGAGATCTCACAACTACACCTTGAACTGAGCAGCCTCCAATAAGACACGTGAATTTAATTTTTTCTGGTAATGTTCAGTTTCAGACAGATGCTGATATGGTGTAACAACTAACTGCATTATCTGAATAATGTTTCTCAGTCATAATCATGCCAAGGAGCACTGCTGAACTACAAGGATTGCTGGAGACATGCTGCTTTTCTGGTGAAGTCTGGCCAGGAGATCCTCATCCCAGGCCCCGTCTGATTCCTGATGCAGCCCTGCCTCTCCCAGATGAACGGGAGTCTCCCACCCAGCCTCATGGCGCTCCTGCAAGTCAGCTGAGGACTTGCTACCTCTCTGACCCAGGTGCCTGCATCACACATACAAACAAGCAGCAGCTGTCCACTTACTTAATCTTCTTAATTCATCTGCCCTGACTCTCATGCTACACAGCAATACAGAATTTAGCTTGTTTTGTTTAAAGAGAAATTTCACCCTGCCTTCTTAGGTCCATGTGCAGTTTCAGCAGCTTACAATTTAGAAGCACAATAAGCGTGGTAAGCATAACATCCTCTGCAGTAGCACAACCCCGTAAATGCTTCAGGTTTGCCTTCAAACAAACAGGGATTTCAAGAGACTTTTTACCTGCCCTTTGGATAAGCTCTCCCATCTGTCAGGGCCTTGGGGAAGAAGGGAATGCAGCAGTTCCATCCTCTCTCTTAAGGGAGGCAGCAGCATTGTTGCTCCAACTGACAGAGTTTCAATCACCACCTAAAATTTGGAGTGAGGCCAAATCATGGTCAACATTTCACTGAAAGCTGCATAATACATTTGATATAGTAGAGCAAATATATTTTGAAATTATTGCTCCTTCATACTTTTTGTCAGTTGTCAAATGCACACACTTCTATGTCGCCCTTAGAAATTCCACCTGCAATACTCATGATTCAGAGGCGCTCTGTACTCAGCCCTCCAGATACATCCAAATCCTAGAGGCTCTGAAGCAGATGCAAAAATGGCCCAGCGATGTGTCTGTTAACAATTCCATCAAGTTGTGCACACATTCAACTGCCGGGAGTCCCGGTAGATTATGGTGGCATACGTATAGAATAAATCCTTCCTCTTCCAAGCTCCCAGAGTGCATTCAGTGAATGACAGTAAGGATGCA